ATGTTACCTGTACATTCTAACAGTTACGGTAGCGGACTCGCAGATAGAAATATTTTTTTTGCTGCGTGCAGATAGAAATTTTAGATTTTTTTCCCAAACGCTCCAAACAGCAGAACCCACGGCGCAGATAGAAATATTTACCCAATTTTGGCTCAGCGCAGATAGAATTTTTTTCTCCCATTTTCCAGAAAAGTGCAAAAAATGCGACGCATTAGAGAAATTTGGGAAATTTCGCGGCCAGAGACGCGTCGCAGATAGAAATTTTTGGGAAATTTTTTGCACAGGGATTTTGTCTCGGAAATTGCACGAAACGTGGCGCATTGTACATTTTTGGGGCAATTGGCCAGCGCAGATAGAAATTTTTCGAGCTGCAAATAAAGTTTATACCCGATCAGGTCCAGATATGAAAAAAAGTGAAAATTATGTACATTTCTGAAAAATCATGAAAAATCATGGAAGTGATGAATACTTATGAAAACAAATCTCACATGCCCTCACCAAGCTGCCTCCTCGCCCATCTTCTTTTGCAGCAGGTGCAAAGACGTACTGCTGGCCGAGGCCTGCCGAAGCTTCGGAGTCTGAGAAACAGCGTCTACGGGAACCTCCGGTTGCCCATAGACTTTCAGGAATGCAAGAGCCTCCGTCACATCTCTAGGCTTGGGTTGGCCCAGGGAGAGAACTTCGGAATGTACAAGTACAGTGACGGGCTCAAAATGCTGCTCTGCCATGCACTCTGATTTACACACGTTAAAACTACACCAAATCTCACAGGCCCTCACCAAGCTGCTGGCCGAGGCCTGCCGAAGCTTCGGAGTCTGAGAAACAGCGTCTACGGGAACCTCCGGTTGCCCATAGACTTTCAGTGCAAGAGCCTCCGTCACATCTCTTTCCCCTTTCAGGCCCGGCGGGCCCACTTGGCGTTAGCCAGCTCGTCGCAGCGCTGCCAGCAGGAGCGCCAAGAATAGCGCCGGCTGGCCCACTTGCAAGCCACCAGGAGGCACCATCCAGCAGGTGCGCGTTCCCAGAAGTTTGCCTGGCAGAGCCTGGGATCTCCTCCCAACCAAGGCACGCCGATTCGAAGGAGCTTGTTCCCACCGTTTCAGCAAAAGAGCGTGCTTCTCGTACCGGGTGACTGACTTCGTTGCCTTGGTCCACGGCCAGGTAGGCAAAGTCCATAACGAACTCCTCAGGAGCAGGGAGCCGAGCCAGCTTTTTCCAGCCAGCCAGCGCCTCCTTGGAGTTTGGCAGGTAGCTTTGCCGTGGCACTGTGCAACGAAGAAGCTGAAGCCCAAAGACCAGGTAAGAGCCGGTAGAGGGTTGAGCTAAGGCAAGGTGTGTCAGGTAGCGTGTGACCTGCATGTCCAAGTTGCGTGCATTGACCTTGTAACCCTTCTTAGTCGCCCAAGCCTCAAACTCCTTGATGTGGCGATGGTAGGCATCCAAGGTCTTCTGAGAAACCTTGAGGGCCCTCAGCTCCACAGCAGCAGGGAGTTTTCCCCCTTCAGGAGTGGTGCGGCGCTGCTTGCGTCGCTTTGGTGTGGCCACGGTTGTGTCCAGCAAGCTTCGCGATGTCAAAGGCGTTGAAGTGGCCGAAGACAACGGGGTGCGTGTTGATGTAGTCCTTGGCGTGGACGAGGAACTGCTCGGTGTCTTGACCGCAGTCGCTTTGGCAAACACCTCGGCTGGAAGCTGAAGAAGCTGTTGAGTGAGCTCCACCCGCCGCCGTTTCGAGGCCATGAAGAAAGCTCAGAACATCGTCAGGCCGGCTGGCCCCTAGCGCCCCGGAAGGGGCATGATGTCTCAGCTCCTGAGCCCATACTTTGCAGAGCCGCGCTGGGTATGCTCCTGCTCCAGTGGTGCGGTTACGAGTAAGAGGCTTGCCATCTATGACCACGGTCTCACTACCTCGCAACTGTTCATGAACATGTCCACCTGCACGTCGACGCTGCAAGGATTCAAGCCATGACATATTGGTTAGTATGCTGGTAGGCTTCTTGTAGGGCTGTCCATACGCACACATGTGGAAGGTGAAGAAGCGCATGCCCGAATCAATCGAGCCGTAAGGAGTGCCAGCGCCACCCCCACCGCCTCCTTGTGCCGAGCTTTATGGAAGTTACAAATGTTATGCCGAGCTCGAGACCAAACAGTGCAAGGTGTCCCCAAATGCAAACACCACACCAGCCCCGACGCAATCATCTTCAAGAGGAAGTTCTGGGACTTGGGGTTCAGCATGTCAAACTGGTAGCCCTTCTCTTTTTCGATGTCTGGCAGGACTTTGAGTGATGCTTGTGAAACCGCATTGGTGAGGTGCGCTGACCCTGAAAAGACCTCAAGGAAGTACTGGGGCTTCCCACTACTCTCTGCTGGCGGCGTTCCCTTGACAGAAAGGTCCAGCTCCAAAGAGTCGGCGCCAAGTGAAGCGCCCTGGACGTCCTCCGGGTTTGCTGCCAACCGAGGCACAGGGTGCCGTGCCCGAAGAGGTCGTTCGAAGTCAGGCCCCCACCAGCGAGAAGGGCCATCGGACACATTTCGCTTGCTCTCTATGCGCCGTATCCTCCATTGAATACGGCCTGCAATCTGATATGCTGCAGCCCTGCGGCACAAAGAATTCAACGCTCCTGAGCCACTGCGTCCCTTCTCGAAAGCCAAGCAACAAACCAGGTTGTCAGAGATGGACAGGGCCGTAGTCCCCAAGTTTCGCTTGCAGCGAGCCAGCCTCCGAAGACCCATCAACAGGACGCGCCCTTCCTTCAAGTTGATGTGCTCGGCCACGTTGGTCCAGGGAGCCGCCGTCACCAAGGTCCATCGCCGCCTCTCGTCCCATGAAGAAGCCAAAGCGGGAATGGCCGGACCAGGCATCAAAGTAGGCGAAGAGGTCTCAGGAGGCACAGGAGCGATCACACTTCTCCGTCAGGTGCTTCCCGAACTCGGTGCGGTGGCCAACTCCAGACTCGGCCGTGTAGCCGGGGAAGCCTGCCTCCTGCTCGGGAGGCCGCGGGAGCTGTAGCTCGTCTGCATCCTCTTGAGGAATGAAGCGCCATTTTTCTCGATGTTCAAAAGCAGCACGAAGTTCCTGATATGTCGCGTGGGTGTACATGAGCGCATAGCCGCGGTCCGAAGAGTCACCGATGTGAACTTCTTTGCAGAAAGGCGCTGACATCTCAAACTCAACCAAAAAGATCAAACCAAGGGCCTGACGCAGTTCTCCTCGGACACTGGGCCACAAGGCGGCTCGTCGCTCTCCGTGCTGAGCCACAAACTTGTAGATGGCCGAGAAGACACTCATAGCGGGCCGCATAAACTGGAAGTGGAAGTTCATGTGACCAAGATAGACACGAAGCAGACGTCCAGAGACACGCCGGCGCCGAAGCAAGCCTCGAGTAGCCAGCCAGAGCCTCCAAGCGCGTTGTGGTTTTCCCAGGGCCCGGCAGCCGTCCTCGAAAGTCAGCCGCATCCGCAAGCTATCCATCCAGCGTTGGTCCTCCACTCCGTCCACCTCAAAAGGGATCCCAAGCTCCTCGAAGTGCCGGGCAATCTGGAGCATGCGTTGTCCCGCCTCTCCAGGTCGTCCCCCAATCACGTGCACGTTGTCCACGTACGTTCCCGTCACGGGCCGACCGGGTTGCACCTGCGGAGCTGGCTGCCGATCTCGAACTTCATCTTCTCCCGGCCGTTGGCTAGATTTCGCCACCTGATGGCACACAATCTCGTTGGCAAAATACAGGGCCCACGACCACCCCATCGGAATGCCCTTGAAGACCGCGTAAACTCGCTCGCCTGGAAGTAGCTGCTCGTACGTGCCGGTGTCGTCGTTGTACACCTTGTCGACGCGAAAGCCGTAGGCGAGGAGCTCGGCGTCGTCAAAAACATCGTCCGTTGCGAACCACGAAGCGAGCTCCGGCACACAGAAGTTGTAAAAACAATCTCCCACATCGCCCGACTCGGCCGTGACGCCGCTTAAGGTCGAGTGCTTCGCCGAAGCCGTTGTAGCAGAGGGTCTCCTGCGACAAGTCCACAGAAGTCAGGCCAGCTGGAGTCGCCAACCTCGTCACGGCGGGGGTCTGTGGCAAGCATTTGCCTGACGCCCATCAATAATCAATCTTTGTTGCCCATCCTTCTTGCGGACGGTAAAGAAGCCCACTCTAGCTTTCCGGCGTCTGCGAAAGTCGAGTAGCCCAGCGCGATCCAGAGCTTGGTATAGAAGAATCCTCTTGTGCTTGTCGCGCCTGAGGCTGGGGTCCCAATAAGGTTCATTGAGATCGCCTGAGGTTCGTATGAGGTCCATCTCCATGCCGGGTCGCTCCACGAGATCAGCAAAGTGTTGAAGATAGCCGCGTGCCTCAGGTGGCGCAAGCTCTTTGGCATCTGTAGGCTCCAGAGGTCGACGAAGAAGTTTTATCCTGTCGAGGTCCATGGCAACCCAGGGGCTAGCCTCCTGCGAGTACAGGTTGGAACGCTGGGCCAGGTCATTGAGCACCGCCTCCTCTGTCAAGTCCGAAGGGCAATCCCCATACGACCCAACCCTCCGCGCCACATCCTCCAGGATCCACTTCTGGGTGGCTGTCAGGGGAAGCGCGGAAATCGAATTTGCTGCACCAAAAGTTGCTGCGGCGAGCTGGTTCAAAGAACGCAGTGAAGCGTCGACCCGCCGGTGCAGCGAGGGTGTAGTACCCGAAGAGCGACCGCCTTGCCGATCCTGTGGAAGCCGAGGTAGAGGAAAAGGATCCCCATGACGTCGGGCCGGCGAAGGCCATCGCGAAGTGAATTCATCCCATGCACACGCCGAAGTAGTTACGGCAGGCCCGGCAAGAGCCCCCGGCGTTGGACCCACCGAGCTCCATCTTCACTTCGAAGAGCCGGCGCCGCCTTCCGCAGCGCCGGGTTTGTCCTCGCCCTTGCCCTTCTTCTTCTTCTTTTTCTTGCGTCGTCCTTTGCCGCCCTCGTCCTCGTCCGTGCTGTCGTCCGCCTCGCCGCCTCGCCCGCCTTTGCCGCCACGAAGCTGCCGACGTTCTTGGTTGTAGAGCCGCTCCTGTTTCCAGATCGAGGCCCTCTCCTTCTCGATGATGTCCAAGCCGGAGAAGTCGGGCTGCAAAGGGTTGCGCTCCACCGCCAGCTCCGTCTGAATGACCCATCGGGAGAGGTGTTCGCCAACTGCCAGGGCACTCACGTCCAGCTGGTCGAAGGAGTGCATAAGCCGTAGAGCTTCGCAAAGTCCACGATGGATATGAGCAGCGCTTGCCGAGAGACGCCGGAGAGTCGGACCCATTCAGCATGATAGTGAAGGAAGCCCCCAGCTGACGCCGCCACTGCTTCGTGAAATTCCTTCGCTGCCCTGACGCCTGCAATGGGGAACTCCGGGTCGACAGGAGCCTTCATCAAGGCCACCGCCTCTTTGAGATCCAGAACTTTCTTGCCGCTTTGGTCACGATGATCGCCCAGGACCCTCACGTCGGCGCTCTCCAGTCCACGTCGTCTCCTCCACTCATCCATGCCGTTGGTGCTCACGCGCTCCACAAAGACCTCCTCGCCGCCAAGCAGGATCACCCCCTTCAACGTGAAAGCCAGCCCCGTCGCCTCATTGGCCAAGAGACCTGCATCCACAGCGCGCCCGAAGTCCGCGTGCGCGGGGTCAGACACCACCCAGCTGAAGGCGTCGGAGTCAACGACCGTGCCCTCGCCAAGGATCGCCGCCTGAACCTGTGCTTGCCGCTTGAAGTTGGCCAGAGCAGCTCGTCCTATAGGGTCGTGAGCATAGATCTCGGCAGCGATGTCGGCGGGGAAAGGAGCGGCTCGATCCAAGACCCTGTGCCTCTGCGCCGCCAAGTCGTCAGTTCCAGGTCCGGGGTCAAAGTGAGCCAGTTGCCACCCTCAATGCGATGTAGGAGGATTCGATGATGCCAGTCGAAGCCCTCGGCGTCGCCCGGATAGTGGACCAAAACTTGCACCTCTGCGATGTCTAACGTGAGGTCGCCCATGCCCGGCGATCTGAAGGCCGAGTAGGCCTAGTACGCCCTGACCGGGGGGGACTCTCTGAAGAAGCTTCTGAATCAATCACCTGAGTGCTCTGCTGAGAAGCGATGAGCCCTGCCTCTGTCTCTTGCACAGCCAAAGAAGGAGGTAACTCAAGAGGAGCCTGTAGTAGCCGAGGCCGTATCAGCCACCCACGAATGAGCAAGAAGATCAAGACCAAGTCAGCCAGCCCTGAACAACGTAGCAACCAACCTTGAAACCACAGTTGCCAAGTGCACTCGCCCGCCGCAGTCTCGAGCTCGTACACGACTTCTCGGGTTCGGCTCACCTCTGCGCGCAATGCTTGAACTTCCTCCAATACGATCACAGGGGGAGGTCGATTAAGAAGTCGCTCCACCCAGAATGCTATGGCAAGACACAGGTAAGGGCGCATCTAGGTGGGATTTGGGCAGAGAACTTCGGAATGTACAAGTACAGTGACGGGCTCCAAATGCTGCTCTGCCATGCACTCTGACTTACACACGTTAAAACTACACTCTAAAGAAAATCATGAACATTATGAAAAAAAAAGAAATTCATGAACATTATGAAACATATTGAAAATTTATCTAAATTCAAGGAATGCCTGATAGGGTTCATGGAAAGGTGGTACGTAGGTGGCATTTGTGGCGTGCGGTGCGCGTGCGGCGTGCGTGCGCGCGGTGCGCGCGGTGCGTGCGATGCGTG